CATTTATTAATATGCATGGTTTACCTTTCTCAGTCTCGAACTTTTTTGATATACATAGATCCATGTTTTACACTATTATTATTTTCACGACGATACACTTTACGGAACAGCTAGTGAGTTAAACACGGTTTAAAATAGTTAACAGTCAACAGCCAACAGTCAATTGCAGCTCAAATGTAAAATCCGATCACGACACTATCRTTGACGCATACTGATATCTGCAGTCCATGGATATTAAGATAAATTAACAATAAAACATTATCTCGATTACTCGGTTATACATATGGGGAAATCAAGTCCAAGGAAAACCAAGTCCGACTGTATTTTTAAATAGTGTACTAGAAAATTGTTATATAACATATACATATACGGGACAAACACATATATATATATTAGAGCGCAATCGTGTTGCGTTTTATGCAGGTAAAAAAGGTTATAAGACGGGCGCAATATTGCTAATTGGTCGAGCGCAATCGTATTGCGTTTTTTGAATGGAAAAAGGTAAGCCGGGCGCAATCGTGGTTCACCGATATTATTATCTACCCATAGGTATATTATAATAAAACTTAAGCCTACTGTTAAGTATATAGGAAATAACAAATACAAATTTAATAGAACATAAATAATTATATACATGTATTAAAACCTACTGCTTTAATAGGATTTTARTTGTTAAAATGAATAATAGGATAAGCTACTTTGAAGTTGAAATCTTCAGTTAATAAAATTAAGTATTTCATCATTATATTTTCAATTTTCCAAACATAAATTTGTTTTGAAAAATCACTTACTTTATTAACCCCTTTATTTGTTCACTTTTTATRGGTSTATCAAAAAATTTTTCCAAATTTTGGAATTTTCTACCAATTACTACTTGTGTTTTTAGAATTTTACTATAACAAACATTGACTACTTTAATGATATTTAAAACACCGCTTATTTTTAAACCAACATAAGATAAATAATACTTAATAATACTTATACTATATTACACAGTGGCGTAACCAGAACTTTTAATGCCCGTGGCAAAATAATCCAATCGGGCCCTTAGTTTTATAAATTTGGAAAAAAGAGATATGAGGAATAGCCTACAAAAACTAACCACCTATAAAATTCTACCCTTTAAGGTTACAAACAATAAAAAGCATGTTTAGTCGTTTAGTGTAATATTATTTTTATAGTAAAATTGTAATAAACATTTTTTAGTTTAAAAAATATATACAAAGCAATACAAAAATTTAAATATTCAAAATTTCTTCTTTCTTGCTTTTGCTTCGGCAAACATATCGATTAAATTTTCAAAGTCAACTTCTCGGGCTGTTTCTTGTTCGATTGAAATTAATGCCAGGCCACTTAAACGATCTTGCATCATTGTACTCCTTAAATATCCTTTAATAATTTTTAGTTTCGAAAATGACYGKWMCGCGCTTGCAGATGTAACAGGAATTGTCAAAAATAATAAAAGAGCAGTACATACTTCTGGGAAACTGGCTGTTAAAGAATGATTTTTCACCATTAAAAGTTGAGCAAGATCTCTAGTTGAATTAAATTGACTTATTTGATTTTTAAGAGTTGATCTTACAGCTAAAATTTCACTTGTAAATGTTTTTGATATGTCTTTATCATATTTGTTTACCAACTTCGTAGCTTCATTTAAAAGCTCTAAATCTGTTGCTGATGTAAGAAAAGATGGTTGTAAACATGTGAAATTTAGCATTAATTCATGAAAACTTGAAAAACGTTTACTTATTTGATTTATTAATATATCCAACGTTCTATTAAAAATAGTTACACGAAATAAGCTTTCTGGACAAGTTAAACGCATATCAGTACATAGTTCATCGAAATATCTTTTTACAACTTTACGACGTTTGTTTTGAAACTCTGTAGAGATAGACCAACTTTTAGCAACTATATTTGCTTCTTCCAAGAGATCATTGAAATTACATCTATATTCTTTTAATTGTTCATAACAGTTTTTTAATAAATTGGATGCATTATCTAAATCAACTGACTTTGACTGGAGAATTTTAGAAGTTAGGTTTATAATTTGTAAAATTTTACATTGAAAAACTAAAGTGCAAATAAAATTATAATTTTCAATTTGTTTTTTAATCCCTTCAGCTTCATTTCGCTCATCTAACTTAGAGCTGCAAAGTATAACTTTTGTTAAAGCTTTTTGAATTTCAACAAATCTAATTTTAAGCGCAAAAACTGCTTCATAACGACCAGCCCATCTTGTGGGATTAAGTTTTTTTATTAATAATCCATTTTGACTGTTCGATTCCTTAATTAAATCTGATAATATACGCCATCTTACTATACTATGCCCAAAAAAAACAAAAACTCGTTGAACAACATCAAAAAAGATTTCCATTTCTGTTATTTCTTTCACAGCATCATTGACAACTAAATTTAAATTATGAGCAGAGCAATGGACATAAGCTGCGCTTGGCGCAATGTCTTTAATTCTTTTTTGTAGGCCATTATACATACCACTCATATTGGCAGCCCCGTCATAGCCCTGACCACGACACTTGGCGATAGACAATCCCTTTTTTTCAATATTCTGTAATATTAGTTCAGAAAGAGAAGAGGCAGATTTATCAACAACTTCATGAAATGCTGAAAAAGTTTCCTTAACACATACATTTTTTGGGTTTCCGTATTCATCTTTTTCTATAACACAATAACGATAAATTTCACTTAACTGATCAACCTTTGAAATATCTTGCGTTGTATCAATTATAATGGAAACAAAAGGAGCTTCTTTAATATTAAGTATTAACTCGTCTTCGACTTTATTTGAAATTAACTGTATTAGTTCATTTTGAATTTTAGGGCTACAGTAGTTTACTTTATTATTATCCTGATTAATAACTTTTTCTAGTACTGAGTCGTATTTTGCAAGTAACTCAATAAAACAAATAAAATTGCCGTTTTCTCCTTTACCACTACCGAGCTTTTCTCTGTGGCCGCGAAAAGGTAAACTTCGCATAGCTAATGTAAGAGTAATATTTAAAATTCTCTCTAAAACCTGACGCCAAAATAATTTTTCTTTTTTTATATTCTGTTCTAGTTCTTCGTTTAATGTTTTATTTAAAAACCATTTTTCATATACTAAACAGGAAATGTAGTGAACGTGTGATTGCTCGTGTCTTTTAATACCATCTACTATGTGTTTCCAATCACAATATCCTGTAGTCCAAATTTCTTGAAAGCCAGTGGATGTGCGATCTCCAAATAGCCAACATGACCTACAATACGCTTTTTGAAGTATAGTCGAATAACATAGCCACGAACGTTCGATTTTTAAACCAGATTTGGACACTGTAAAATAATACTTTTCAGAAAAAGATCTACCGTCTGAATTTTTAGCGAAAGGCCCTTTAGCTTTAGGTCTACTATGCCCATTTTCAATTATGAACCGTTTAGTTTGAGCATCTTGTGGCGGTCCTGGACGGATCCCACAAAGATAGTTATGGTGGTGCCTTAGGGAGAAAAAAAACACGTTCGTTTTATTGCAGATGTACGGTGGTTGTTGTTTATTGGTATGACAAAAGAGACAACAAAAAAAAACAAAAAGATATGTGTGATGAGGATATGACACGGGCGAGGACGATTGGTGCGTGGTGTTTGTCACTCAACCGCGGTCGTAAAACTGAACTTACTACAAGCCGGTTCGCGGTACCGGCGGTCGACATTTCCAGGCGCGCTTATCGCGTGTCGGTGTCGGCCGTCGTCGATTGGCGGTTGACAGAGAGAATAGACGGCGCGGGTTTCCGCGCAAAGGCCGTTTGAATTCAAACGACTATTACGCGGGACCGCGTCATACTCCCCCCCCCAAACCTCCA